TCCCCCAAGGCAACGTTTACAGACGTCTAGGTTTTTTTCGGTAAAAGGACTCCCACTTTATAAAACTAAAGTGATAACCGGAGATCCTACCGATAGAACTTGCTACAGGTTTTAAAATATCTGATCTAATGTAGATTCGGTCCCATCTGGGGTGCCATATGTAGCGTCCACGTGGACGCTGTCTTTGTATAATAAAGAAATCATGGCACGCTCTCTGTGAGGTGGTAAACAAAGAGGTTTATTTAAAGAACGCGCGCCTTTTTATACCTTGATCCCACGTGACTCTTAACCAATAGGAGGGTCTGGCTCTGCGCATGTCCCCTAACTTCGGTGCCTACCTGTTGCACCTCGGGACATGTTCCCTACAGGGAATGCTGATGCAAAATGAGATTGAATATAAAGATGCAGGGCACATGTCTACCCTTATATTCTCCTTCATCTTCCTCGTTCTATACTTGTGGAGGTTCTCTGGTGCAGTCTGACACTGGCACTCCAGGTTGCCCCTACGCTCTCCCTTTGTGGCTGGCAGGCCTGTCCTATCTTTCTTGGCAGTACCACAGAGTCCTCACATCCACAGTTTGCTTTTCTCGTTGCTTCATTTTCAGCACAGTCAATTCTTTGACTCTGTAACTGATGCTTCATTTTGCAAAACGTTTTCTTATCATTTCTCGTCTACAGTTTATTCACCCTTCACATGAGGAACTAATGAGAAAGCCGAGAGAAAACCAAACACTATTTGTATTAATTTATTAGCAGGAAGCCAATTTTTGCTCAATACTGCAGCCATGTATTTGGGATTTAACAGAACATTCCTCAAACTGAAGGCCAGCAGCGAAGTAAGTGGATTTTGGACAAAGCATTTTCTGCCCTCATGAAAACAGCAGCAGGAAACAAACTCCAGTGGTCAAAAATTGGATCATAAAGATGAAAAACCATATGTGTTTCTGGTCTTTAAATTGCTACTCTACAGAGTGATAAGAGACATCATATAGAACCTTATCAGGATTTAATTTCCTAACAGAAATGAGAAAGGAATGTGCAAACCCCCTCTTACATGATCTAACATTAGATTGCTGTACATGATAAAAATTTCTTAACAGGCATATACCTAAGGAAGATAACATTCCATCTCTTCTTCCTGAAGATGCTTTCTAAATACAAATCCTTTTAAAAATAGCATATTTCTGGTTTGCTGTGCATGACTGTCTTCTTGAGGAAATGTTTTCCAGCAAAAACCTGCTCACAGTTACTGTATCTTTTCAGTGCTTCTGTAATAATACCTCGTAAAATGCTCTTAGTGCATGAGGTTTATGAATGAAGCCTGTCAAACTATATGTAGTACAAAAACACGATTGTTAAATTTCTTTGAAGTTTAATTCATAACTGTAGTCTAACTGGATCATAAAGGATCTATACTACAAGCCACCACCATTACGTGAAAAATCTGGTTTGTATTTGTATTTTGTACGTGCATCTTTGCCATGTCATTCTGCATCCCCTTAGTGACTCTTATATCCTAAATTATATTTACTAAATCCCCCACATACCATTCTATTTCCAGGCTCTACCAACTACTGTGTTATTTCCAGAAAAACTTAGATTTCCAAAGGGTTCACTGTGAGCAAAGTTGTCTCCTTTTGATCAAGAAAATGAGTAAATTTTGACACAAATTTCATACTGTTCATATTATGCTGTATTTACTGTAGGGACACTATAAAGAGCATTTACAAATGATGCAGGCATGTTCAGCATCCATGTACGGCCTCTGGGAATAGCAGAGACAAGCAGTGCTCTCAATTTGTGAGGTACTTGCTCTGCTGAGTTATGGGCAGCATTTTAAGATGAGTGGCTGTAGGAAAAGAGGGCTCCCACACCCTCAGCTTCATCTTTTTTTCTGCTCTGCGGATTTTGCAGTTTCACCTCCTAGTGTTTCTGACCTAATCTAATTCCAGGAATCTAAAATACTCGTGACGACAGCCAGAATGGGATTATTTACTACTGTGGCTGTGTTATAACATAACACGGGCTGGTCTCATTTTACAGCACTGCCGGTACCATTAGAAGGAGTAGTTTTCTATGGTTATCTTGTATTTTTTTTAGGCAAACTAAAAAAGGCTAATTATTAACAAAACACAGTAACACGTGTACTCCCGAACACACTAAGACTGTGCCTATCTTATCTTGTTTTAATAATTTCTGAGTCCCGTCCCTCATGCTTAAAAATAAAGCTCATGAAAAGCACTTATAGTATACATTCATGGCATTGCTTCCTGAAAACATCTCAGAGAAGGGTTTGTCATTTTTTTCCTCCCCTCTCCACATCTCTTGGGATGATGAAGCAGATAGGATTTCCCACCCTTGTCTCCAATATGTCTTCTGCATCAGGCTGTTCTGTGACTCTGCAAAGCATAATATACGTCTTGGTTCTGTGCCAAGATTGCCTGGGAAGCCAGACTTCCAACCAGCTCTTCATACCACAACCAAAATCATCCACCCTTACGGAAGTACCCAGCTGACTATACCATTAAATACATTTTTGGCATGAAAAAGCTTCAGACAAGAAAACTTCAGCAAAACCTGACCTTTCCTTGGACATACTTCAAGACATGCTGCAATGTTATGTTCCAATAATAGAAACTCTACAGATGAATAAGCAAATATTTAAATTTTACGGATATCACCCCAAGGGAAATTTTTAGTTAAACATAAATGGCACGATTACCTAATGGGCATAGCAAAATGTTAGGAAAGTGAAGTGTTTGGATAAAACAGCAACCATTAATTTTTCATTTCATTTTTTTCTCAAATATAGCATGCTTCTGGAGATCATACTTAGTGAACATACTCATGGTTACAGGCCCACACAGTATTTTAATTCCATAAGGTGCGTGGGAGGCTTTTTTAAATCCGCATAATTTTGTGTTATTTTCTTTTTACATGTTATTATCATCAGATGGAGGGGAAATTAAACATTCTGAATGTGTTAAAAGCCTTGGTCTTCTTGACTCCTATTACCAACTGCTAACTATTGCTAAACTCATCCATTTTTGGAACATGAACAACCTTGATAACATCAGATGAAGACAAAATAAAAATAGAGCTTTGGCAAATCCTGTGAATTGAATTCCGGTATCTCGGAACACCATGTAAAGCTCTTTGATTGCCTTTGCAAATGTAGCTCACTACATTAATATTGAAGCTACCTCATTTCCTAACTTTCCTAAGAGCAGCCAGAACTATAGTCATGCCGGAAAAGAGAGGAACTAAATAAAATCCAGGCTATGAATATTGCTGTGATTTGTTTTTTCCTGGAAAAGGTTTCACAAAAACCTTTCCAGAAAAGGTTTTGTGAAAATTATTCCTAACCAACTTTATATCTAGTCTTCCTTTCTTTTGGGGTACAGTATATATCTTGTTTCCTCCTTTTCCTTTGTTTGAGTAGACAGTAAAAGCAACCTTCTTCATCACCTTAATTATTTGTCATTTAAGATGACCAGAACTGAAATATGGTCCTTATTTTGACATATAGTCCTGTACTTGGATTTTATCACTACTTAGACATGTGCTAATGAAGATGCTTAATGAGCAGCAAGTCCAGTTTTTGCTTGTCTGTGTTTGTGTTGACATGACAAGACCATGCATCTGATGCCTCGGGAAGGGGTCCCTGGAGCTCAGCCCTCCACAGCAGGGGAAATTCTGGGCTGTAGAATAGGAGGGCACTGTCTTGACCCTGCATTTTTCTGCAGGACATGTTGACACATACAAGGTGGTGTCCCCATTCTTTACAATCCCTCTAGCAGCACTCAGAGCAAATGCGCTCTGCACAGACCTCCAGTAGGATGATGTGACTCCTATCACCTTCACGTGACAAAGCACAAGGCCAACAAACCCCACAAGTATGGCTGGCTGAGCTCAAGCATCCTCCACTCCAAGTACTCCAGCTCCTGTCCTCAACACCTGCATCTCTCTGTCTGCACTGATAAAGCCTCTGCCAGACCACAGGCTCAAAAGGATCCTCTGATGAGGCAAGAACATAGGCACCCTATGGCATCACATCAAGGTGTGATGTCACAGCACTGATGTCATGAGAAGGCAGACTATTATATATGCAGGATATATATGACCCCTTTTCCCCCTTTCACAGGTGAAGAGTTGCCTGAGGTCAGGAAAACCAACTGGGAAGCCTGCAGGAGATGCTTGTGTTTCCAGTCCTTGCTGGGGGGTGAGAGAAGCAAGATCCCTGAGAGAAGTCATGCTGGGACAGTGGCACAAGTTCCAGCAAGTGAACACCACAAGCATCTCCATCCTACAACCAAGGAAGTCTGTCCTGTTCCTCGAGGTCCAGCTGAAAGGCTGTATGCAGATACCTGGGCTGCCCTCAGGTCCCAACAGGCTCTTGTGTGGCTGCCATGGCCTGACAGCAGGTACACAATATCTCAGTCCACCAAAGCTCTTGGCTGCCTTCTTACACATAAACGTGAAAAACAGTGATCATCAGGACCATCAGTAACAACATCAGGGGGAGGTAGATGTACATTTACATGCAGAGAAGAGTAATTTATGCTGATGTAGGTACAATAAAAACAAAGCTGGTATGCAAAATCCTAGCAGGTCTAGGCAATCACATACATGGTGTCCAGTAAGAGACCATCACTGAGGTGTGATGTTTCACAGGGTGAAGCTGCAGCCACAATCCACAATTTAGGGTGGAAGCACACAAAGCAAAATTCTGCTTTCTGATCCTGTGGAAAACGAGGCAGGGACCCAAAGACGCATTTGCTATTCTTTCCTCCCTCCTTTTTGATGGTATATTCTCTCTCCACAGGTTATGGATGTACTGAAGCCATTCTGCTGATGAAGGGACCTGTGCAACTGCCGCCTGCAAGCATGGCCAGGGCAAGACAGAGCCGAAGCGGTTGGAGCTGCACATGGAGAACATTCAGGAACAGCTACTGGCATGTGCTTAAGCGACGTCAGTTGTGACAACACACCCAGCACGTAGTTACACTCTACATGCTCCAGGGGACCAAGCATGGACACAGCTGAGACTGAGCCCCACAAAGAATATGCAAGAGCTCCGTAAGCTAAACAAAAAGTGAGAGCAAAGGGCCATTTAAACAATCAAAAATGCATCTGAATTCTAATCAGATACAACACCAGCTCTTGACCAGCAGCAGTTCTGGTTTTCCTGCCTTTAAACTTCTTTATCGTGTCCATTTAACATTGCTGAATCTCGTACCTTGAGAGCAGTCCCTTCGAAAACAGTTGTTGAGTCTGGCTGTAAGTTAGTAAAAATACCAACAGAAATCAAACTCATATCTCAAATTCATGCATTACTAGAAACATAATTGTTGTATGATCAATGCCTTTAGGTGCTTTACTAATAGCTTTTACTTGGTAGAGCACTATATAAGTCTTTTTTGCTACAAGGTGAGAAGAGATAATAGATATTTTTTAAAAGCATGGAATACTTTAAACACTAAGAACCACCAAAGACCCTGAATTAATTCAATTTCAGATTAACAAAAAAAAGCCTCCAATGTCAGGTGATCTCATTGCAGTCATAAATATCTGGAAGTTGTGTAATTATTTAATGCTCTCCTCTGTTCATAAGCCTCTTAGAACAGAAGCACATTCTCCAGAGATCATTGGCTTACTGTGTACCTAAAGAAATTAAGCTACAGTTCAATTATGGTAAATATATTTCATTCCCCCTAGGAGTGGGCAGGTGAAAGAGCTTAGGTTCAAACAGAAGTTAGATTAACAATAAGAAAGTTATTTAACCCCTAACTTATATAGTGAGGTCCTTGCACAGCTTCACAGGACCATTTCCTCACAACCAGTGCAGAAAAAAAAGCATAAAAAGCACATATGCTTATTTTTATTATGGATTCAAAATCCATTTTCAAATCCTATCAGTGAATAATCATCTTCCATTCAGTAGCCACATATTTTGTGAAGTTCTTTAAATAATATTTAAAACCTGATGTAAGCAATATGCAGCATTTAATGATCTCCATAAGTATCCTGTATCACTACCCAAAGCATAAGGTGCAACTTGAAGATATCTTTCCACTGGAACTAGGTAAACATGCTTTGGCTACAGCCTTTACTTTCCCTCTGCCAATTTAATTTCACCAAAATTTTGATGAATTTCCCCGACATGAGTGGTTTGTTGTTGTGGGTGGTTCTATCCTATAAGGTCTAACAGAAACCAATTTTCTCCCATTTTTCTTTTAAAGCTCCACAACACGTTGCATATTTCACTAGAAACAGTTTTGCTGTTGCTGGTTTTGCCGTTGCTGGTTTTGCCTTCAACTCTACTGCAATTTAGTGATCCATAAAGATATTGAGGCCACACTTCAGGAGAGGACACTCACGTCCTTTAAATGCACAACGCTGAGTGGCCCTAATTAAGTCAGTGGGAGCACCAGTCTACACCAATTGAGGTAAGTAAGCCTTAAAACCTCAAAAAGGAGTTTGCTGAAACCAAGATATATAAATGCAAATCTATTGATAATAAACAGAATCAGAAACTGGAGAGCTGAATGGCTTCGCTGACTGCTTTAAAATCAAGATTAAATCAGAGGTTGTTTAAGAACAAGGCTACCTGCTTCATTGACAGAGTGTGGTACATCAGAAAGCAATTAAATCAGACGACTTAGCATCTATTTTTGTTTAAACTGCAGTCAGTACCAGCCATTGACCAATAACAGTATTTAAATAGCAAGCAAGCAGTGTCACTGTTGGGCAAGAAAAATGAACCAGCAAAGATCAGGAAATATACTATAGTGGGCAGACAGCTAAGCACAGGCATCAGTTATTTAGGGATTCAGTCGTGCCTGCTGCCCACAACAACAAAAACAACTCCCTCCGCTGTATTTTCAGCAATGAGCTATCTGCCAACCACAACACGGCAGCTGCAAACTTCACTAAAGATTTCAGCTTAATTACTCCAGCATTCCTCCAAGCACTTACAACAAGGACCCATCCGAGGCTCTGGAACAGAGCATTCCAGCAGCCTCACATCTCTCTAACAAGAGAGCTTAGATGTGAAAAGCTCCATTCAAGCAGTTGACAAGCTTGAAAGCACCACCCCTGCTATTCAATCTCCTTCCAGTTCAGATATTCTTGTAGGCCACATACAATGACATATTATTTCTTCTGGTTTGTGCTGGCATCCTACAAAGCTGCAGAAAGCCTCTCAAGCACACTGCAACGTGTTTGTTGCCTCCTCCTCCTGCTCTTGGTGTTAACCAGGACTACAGCAGCTTTGCACAAGAAGGGAGCCTCCATTATTCAGCTGAGAAACATGTAGATACACACATATATATTTTATTCATACACGACAGATATATAGATATCTATATGTACTGCAAAACTTTCATCTCCAGGGAACGCATAAAATATCAATGCTTTTATAGTGTATCATTGGATTGCAATGCATAATTTTATAAAGGATTGTATTATGATTATCATACTAATAAGTTACAGACAAGAAAATCTGAGGGATACAAAAAAGCATAGTCATTCACTCTTATAGACAAGCTCTTGTTTCATACCACACAACAGATCCAAAATAATTCTTGGACTCCTGCAAACATAGGCAGGAAAAGAGCAAAGCCCTTTTGATTGGCACGGGGATAAGCTGCTGCTCAAGGAACTCTCTGCTCATGCTGGTAATTTCCTCTGCGATGTTCCCCATGATTGATTTTCACAAGTAGGAGTAAAACAGAATCATGCAAGCTGGGACACTGCCTAGAAAATAAATCTTTGAATTCAGCTGACAAAATGAGTCAAACAGCAATATCATCAGGACCACAATACAGCTTAGGTCGCCTTGCCAAAGAGCAGGAGAACGTACTCAGGAACCACACTCTTAAAGAAAAGCAGTTACTGTTGACAAAATGTGTTTTTAATGGCAAATAGTGCCAGGCTGGGAGTGCTGGTGTAGCCTTAATGACATAAGTTAATGCTGTATCAACTTAAACCCTACAACGTTCTGGAACAATAGCTCTGACTGACAGAAGTCTTCTTTATACACTATTGAAATCAAATGAAAGGGAAAGGGAAAGGCAAATAGGCTGCAAACACATCTGAAAGGAAATTTAATGGGTGAAATTCACTGTTCCTTTTCCTGACACCACTTCTTGACAGTTCATTGTTCTCATCTTGCTCAGGGCTACCTTTTGCCTACTGCTAAATGGCTCTGGTCTTTTACACAGCCTCTGAATAAGCTGTTTCTAGCTACCACTACCCTTGTTATTTTAATAAAGAACCTTCTTTACCATCACAAGGCTGTTTTCCATTTAAAATTAAACCAGCTGGCTCGTCAGTACGTGAAAGCAGCAAAACAAAACAACTTTAACTGTGAAGAGTAAGGTATCCGTCTGCATTCTGCTGTGGTCCACTCTTAGTTTTGACTAAACAGTGACAACTTGCACTGCTCTCCTGCAGAGTACTTATAAACAAACAAAACCCCTCCGAGATCATCTCCTGATGTTCAAGGATAGAAAGTTTGCTAATAGTAAGTAGCTAAACTTAAAGGAGAATGGACTAAACACGACACTTCATTCACAGCTCTCAGCCTTATTGCAATAATTGTCATTGCAATTAGAGTTATAAATACATTTACAAGCAAACACGTTCCAACATTTGCATCACATTTGTGATACACAGTGCTATTGAAGTAACAATATATAACAACATATAAAAAAAGCTAAACATTAAAAACAATCTACCAGGAACCTAAAAAGTCACACAACAATAATGCCCAAATAGAAAATTTACCCCCTTTTCCATTATATCCTGTTAATGTAATTCCCTTCTCTGCTCCTTCTAAAATGCAAATCTATTTCCCAATCTCACAGCATCTGTATTTTCAGACCTTGCTGGTCCACACAATGCAAAAGAGATTTCAACTTGTGCGCACTAAGTCTGCATCACGATGCTTATATGCAAGAGGGGGAGAACAGAGATAGCCAAAGGGGCAAATGTGCATCTCTGCCCCAATTTTATACTCTCTGGATGAAATTACTGGAGTAGAGGAACTACTGTCTATTGCTAGAGTGGAGAAATCCTATCTGATGAAAAGGATGAGAAACAAGGAGGCGGGGAGTGTAAAACGCCTTTTTTTTTGTTGCATATCCAGGTGAACACTTTGAAAAACAGCAGCTGTAAAAGCCAAAGCCATACATACAATTTTTCCAGGCAATTCATTCTCAAATTTGCCTTCGTTCTTTTCCAGTAATTTCACAGAAAAGTTCATATGCATCCGGAATGAATAATCCAAAGTTACAAATAGGGTATGGAGGCAGATGACATGGGGGTTTTTTGTGACAATTAGTGCCACATAAAGGAGCTGCAGAAGCACTTCAAGCAACCATGACTTGGAAACCCAAAACTCAAATCTTTCTCCTCCTTTCCATGTAAAAATACCTAGTGAAACATGGAGCTCTTTTGCTGACACACTTGCAGCCCTTCCCTTGAGCAGGGAAAACCAAGAAAGGCTGACAGAACATGCCAGAGGTTTGGCACACAGAAAGCTGCCATACAGGTCCATGTACAGGAATCCCTGTGTATAATTCTCAGGACCAACTGGTGAATTGGATCAGCATGTGCAGTTTTTGTCTCTCCTGACAAGACAGAGTCAAGACTGCCAGGCTGAGCCTAAACTCTTCAACTCATGGGGAAACTCTTCAGCTCATAGTGCCCCGGGCCCACAGAGCAGCTGAGCTGTTACCTGACTGACAGAAAGGCGAATTTCTGTGAACCCAGCTTTTCTCCTCGCAGGATTATATATATCTCGGTGTAGTTACTCTTTATCTGTATCTGTATTTTCTCCATCTGATCAGGGCTAATACAGACATCCTCTCTTTGACTTCCAATAGAATAATATTCAGTAATAACCTACAAAGCGAGGCTTATAAAGTGATCGCTTTGACTGTACAATCTCTAACATCAGAAGTTACAACAATTTCCTCTTTCTATTCCCTTTTTTCTACCTATAAAAGTCCAAATTTACATGCTTTACAAAGAAAGATCCACCCACAGAATTATCTGGGAAGAGTGAGAAATTCTCAGGAGAGAGTTTTCTTCAATATCCAAGCCTTGCTGGTTCCCACCCTCCATGAGATCTTATTTCTACTGCTCTCACAGATTCCCTACATTATACAGGAAGTACCCCTTTATTTTTTTCACTCTTTGCTTGTCTAAAGAAAAGTTGAAGTAATGCAGATGCATACATCTGTAGCAGGTAACTGCTAATACCTGATACAGCCTGAGAGGCTGCCCCACTGCAAAGCACTTCAAGATTCAACCCAAATAGAAAATATAGGGCTTTTCAGCAATGATCAGTAGCTTCTGCATTTTATTTGCATGAAAAGCACATATAGTATATTTTGTGTTGAATGTAACAGTTTTTCCTTCTGCTCAGTGAATGGATCATAACAAATCATCTGTAAACCTCTACAGCCAGCAGACGCAAGTGTGCTTTCTCTCCCATTGAGCTGTGTCAGAGGGCCATGAAAGCACAACGTGTTCTCCTCCTGTCTCTCACAAATCATGAAAATAAAGTGGTACCAGCTGCTTCCGAACAAATAACAGCATCTGTTTTTCCTCAGACAACTATAACTTGTACACCACTAATAGTGTTTTCCCACTTTTTTACCCTATTGTCATCTCTCTGCATAAAGGACTCTCAAACATGATATGGGTAATGTAGGATTGAAGAAGTATCCATCACCATTTACCAGGGGTAAGGTGCTAGGGGGAACAGACTAAGTGACTGAAAGAGTCATAAATGAAGCTATGCTCAGGTTAAAGAAAAAAACCAACCAACCAACCAACTGAAATCCCTTCTCAGATCAAATCCTCTCCATCCCACGGGTTTCATCTACCATGTATGCCTACTCGCACTGTCAGAAGCCAAAATTTTATGTTTTTCCCATTCTGCCACTGCTTTCTGGATTAAAGGCAGCACCATCCCAACAGCTCCTCACAGCCACTCCAACTCCAGGACAGGCAGCAGCCAGCACTTGGCATCACATTCTGCAGTTCTTAGCACATCCCGAGAATAAAAGGGGAAGAATGAATCAGCTCTTTTAGAGTTATAGCATATCTTGGCCATTAGCAGAACAAAACTACAGGAGACAGTGTTGATTAATGCATCCCTTCCTTTTCTGCTTCTCAGTTAAGCTTACAAAGGCTTGTCTGTCAACTCCTGTTCTTTCAAATCCCAGCATACATGGGGTTTACTACAATATAATTATCAAAATGCAATTCAAAAAGGTGTTTTCTTGCTCTTCAACATCAAGTGTATTTGTAAAGGACATTATAGCCCAGGGAATAGGGGAAAATAATAATAAATCTGCAACAGCAAGGACAGCAAATAACAGCATTCTCATAAGCACTAACAGTTTTATTTCCCCTACTAAGGATGACATAAAGTTGCACTGTAGGTATTCAAAGGAGCTTGAAGAAAGGGAAGAGCAAAATATTTCTTCTCTCTCTCTCAAAAAGACAAGACGTGCCTCTGATTTTAGGGGATCAGAGTGGGTTGCAGCACGACTGCTGTTCACCCAGCCTGAAATGGAAAGCATTGCAATACCCATTTATTTCCCTTCCAGCTACATCACCTGGGAGCTGAAAGCGTGTTACATGCTGTGACCTCTTCTTGTCTTCTTCCAGGCACGGCTGAGGCTGGTGGCAGAGGAGATTAGGCTCTGAGCTCCACTGGCTCCAACTGTGTCATTAGGATGACTCATACTGAGGGAGAACTGTGGGTTTTGGTGACTCACATGATGGCTAGTTTGGAACTTAAGCCCTGTGGTTCAATCCTTAGCCTGCAATCCCTTCAATAATCTTTTAATATGAAGTTTAGTTCATATACAGGGCCAGCAGAGCTCCCTTCGCTAAAATTAATTGGAAATGGATTGTGAAAAGCCACTTACATTAATCACCATGAACGTTAAAAAGAAAGTATACTTCTTGGGGTGGGTTTTTTTTTCATTTTATCTTTTTAAAGCATACCAGAAGGCCTGCTTACCAAAGCCAGCGCAGTGCAGTCAGAACCAGCAAAGGCTTTTCAGAAACCTTTGTAAGCACACAGCATCCCTGCATCACAGAGAAAACAAACATCCCAATTTCACCTCAGGCAAAAAACAGCCCTTCGTGCTGAACATGTCATCTTCATCCCCCACCCCAGCCTCACCTTCCTCCCTCCTGGAAACACAGCTGGATGGCTTATAAAATATGTGGAATATGTCATTTTGATTATTGGTCACCTGCAGGTAGACCATGAAAGGCCTCTCTGAAGAATAAGGAAGAACAATTAAAGAAAAAAAGATAGGCTGATGTCAAGTTTTCCATCTCCTCAGATGGCACAGTGAGAAGCAGGAACAGAGAGCAGACTGGACAACAGGCCAATTAAAGTTGTTCTTCTGGCTTGGGTGGTGCTGGCACCAAGCCCAGATCTCATTCTCCTGACATCTCCTTTCTGTCCTATGGCATCTTTCATCCAAGGAAAAGCATCTCCTGCACCACCACTGAGCCAGTTCAGGGTTCCAGCTGGCACATATGGTCTAAAGTTTGGCATTTGCTTCAGCACTTCGCTCCACATCGTCCTCCACCATGACAAACAAGAAGATTGTGGTGCAAAGGAACTGGCTCAAAAAGTGCGTGTCACAGCTGATCCCAAAATGATCCCCAATGCATCAATAGAGCCGGTAAGACTTTGGAGCCTTCCATGGCCACCTTACACAGAACAGCTGTCCATCCACAGGGGCGTGAGACCACATCAGATTAAAAGTTTGAGCTTAGCAATAGATCTTTGCTGTCCGCTTTTAGTTAAATTGGCATTATCTTATTATTTCAATCCATAAGTTTCCTGATATTACCAGTAAACGCTTTCATCCTTTGCATGACAGTTATTTCAGTTCTGAATTGCTCCCAATCAGTCGGCTTAATTCCATCAATAACAACCTAATAAACGAACTTTAATCTTGCAGTAACGGATACTAATGGCAGCTTACTCTGGAGTAGCCTTTAATTAAAGCAATTTAGCCTCAGTACTGGTCACAGCCGAGTGACAGTCCACACCACTGAGGTGTTCCAGTTGAGATCCTGTAGCCCAAGCCTTCGGAGCAAGGCATGTAAGTGGAAAGAAACTGTATTTGTGGACTGAAGTGGCAAACTACTCCCAGAGGTTTCTGAAAGATTTCTTTAGCCATCAGCAGGAAAAATGCTCCACAGCTGGGAGCATTTTGCTCCACAGTTGGTTTTGGGTTCATTTTTTTTTTAATATAGACAGCTTGTTTTAAACAAATCATTAATTTTATAATTTTTTTTTCAGTGAAGTTTGGGGATCAGAAAACAGAATAGTTCTTTATCACAGACACCAGCACAGATTTAAGAAAGGGTACAAGAGAATAAAATGTCTCTGTTCCCTGATTATTCCCCTGGGTTTCACCCATTCCTCAAAAGGGGTGGTGTTTTCAAACAGGTCTGATTTCAAAGAGATTCAAGAATTAAATACTGCCCTTTTTTCTAGCCCTGTCTCAAGAATTCTTCATATAACAGACAATGTCACTGTTTATCATTGTTCTTTTTTAAGGTCCGAGGTTTTTTTTTTGCTCCTTCATCTTCAAAGTTATTAATTCCCCTTTTTCTACTACCCATTTTAAAGACCTCTAATGAACGTGACACTGGAAATTAAGAGTGCAGATTGCCAGGGTGGTCTGGGCAGGCTTCAGCAGCCCAAGCGAGCGACTGCTCAGAGGAGACTCGAGGGCTGCCAGCACAAATGCTCCACAAGCCTGGGAGAAGACAGATGCTGCCATTTTATTACTGTCTTCTATAAATGAGGCTTGTCATTAAAGCCAGGCAGCAAACAAGGACTGGTACAATGTAAAAAATTGAAAAGACACGGAGCATTTTGGGGAAAGTAATTTACAATGAAAATGGAGTCGCTGTAGATGTAAAGGCTCGGGTGAAGGTAAAACCACAGTCAGACTTCAGATGATGTAGAGAAAAACATTAATGCTTTCCTCAAAGATGCACGTATCAAAATTTTCTCCACTAGTGCCATATTTAACCAATGTTAAGTGATCAGACTGTAAAATGCTTAATCAATTAACTTCTCTGAAGCATTTTCTAGCCAGAGAAAGAAACACTGAGCTGTAACAGCAGCTATCACATTTTTTTAACAGCTAAATTGAATTAATTACTGTAGACATTTAAATTTCATAGCATAAGATAAGCACAGAAATGTTAACGTCCAGATATTTCTATCACCAAAGGGAAGTGCTAAATTTCTCCAATCAATATTCCCATGGCAACTTTGTTACCGCCAACAACAGAATATGAGACAATGACATGGATTCAGTGTGTAAGATATGAGGGAGAAAGAGAATATCTAAATGCTTGCAATTTTTTAATCCAGAGAAGGTCAGAAAAATGACAGATGTGCCCCTACAGTGAAGACAGCGTGTGCTGTGTAATGGGAACCCCTTTGCATCCATTGACATGCCCTGGAAAAGGTTACTTGAAGGTTATGAAATAATGGCTTCAATTAGGTTTCTAACCTGGAGAAGACAGTCATCTATGTGGGATGGCTGAGGAGCAGGGTAATCTCACGTGACACCAGAATACAGGCTGGACAGTGCATCTCCTCAGTTTTATGATCCAAAAGTACTTGAACCTCTTGCCCTCTTGTCATTCCCACTGACAGAATCCTGCCTGTGCCTATAGACTTTAGCAATGGAATAAGAAAATCAGGAGTAACTCAGTGCATTAAGACAACCTTCTTCACATGGATCTTTAAAAAACTTGCAAGAACATTTCAGGGAATTTTGGAAAACAATAATTAAAACTATATTATTCATAGGCATTTTCAGATTTTTTTTCTTTTGGTCTAATATTTCTGTTTCTCCCAGTTTTCTATTCCAAGTTGACTTTGCTCTTAATAAAAGCCTTTTGATCTTCTGCCTTATAACCAAATTAACTTTCTCTTTCCCACATTTCTATAAATCCATTTCCCCTAGAGACTCAAACATAATGACCTCACGCTGTAAACTTGAGATATTTCAGCAACAAAATCGTTAAGTAAATTCATTGTCTGGGGATGGATGCATGCATCTACTTCAAAAATGTTTGTATTTCAGCAAACATATATGTAGGAAAGATCACAAAAACTGCATCATTTATTCCCTGTCTTGAGGTATCTGCTTATGCCCCTATATACAACAGGTAATTTTTTCAGCAGTGAAAGCAGTTTTTATTTTAATTATTAAAGAACAATAACAAGACAATAGTAGGTTAAATTCAGATAAATCCTTGAAGAAAGTTGATAGAAAATGAGAATTTTCTCTGAAATTTTGGAAAGATTTACATAATGTGTGGGAACAGCCTTCCACAAATTCTGACTGAAGAGACAAACCCACACAAGACGCAGGGAAAAAAGTGGCAGAAGTCACAGAGCACGAATTGTACCCAAATGATGACCATTTCCTCCTCAGGTAGAGTGAAAGTGGAGAAATAAAATTCCCATTTGATGTGGTTCCATGTGGTGAGGAACTCCAGTCAACACAGACACCCAAGGTTCCTGCACCAATACCACCGAAATTAAATGAGTCACTGACTTCTTCCTGTCTCTGCCAATTTGCCACCAGCAGAGCTACACCGAGGTCTGGGACCACCAGGCATCCGACATCATCTTTGCACACGAGGAAAAACAAGGTCAAGGAACCTGAGATTCCCACAGCATCTTATGAAGCACTTCATGAGGATATGAATGGCTTGAAATAGCCAATACTGTCACAAAGCAATTAAGGACAGCCAAGTACTCAATTCTCAGCCTTGGTCCCCAGATTGGAGGATGATAGTGAAGATCTGCAGGGCACTTTGGAGTCAGTTCTCCAAGTGGCAGCTGAAGCAGAGGAGAGGCACTGCAGTTTACCCAATATTAGCATCATAAAATTAAGCAGATGACAGAGAGCAGAGACACAAAAGACACTCAGCACAAAGCAACCTCTCATGGAGAGGTCTGAAAATGTAACCAAATCTGAGGCCCACCCCTGCTCCAGAGCACCTTTTCCAGCATCTGTCCCTTCTGAAGGGGACAGAGGGATTTTTTCTAAAGGGCTTTAGGCCCTCTGGCTCTGTAGTGCTGGTACTGAGACAGGATGATTTTACTGAAGTATTTCCTTATCTTCCACTTCAGAAAATAGGATGAATGCCCAGGATAGACTACTAAGAGTTAAAGCCACTGTGGCTGGAGCAGTTTTATATCCAGTTATTTTATATCCAGTTACATCCTGTTATTGCTTTGCCAGGCATCTTTGGTACAGTACTGAGCACTTCCCAGCTTCTTCCTCTGTCAGATTCAGGGAAGGAAGAATCCAGCATCAGCCTATACTGATGCAAATCCAATTGCACTTCTAATAATAGCTGTCATCCTTATCACTTTCCCTGAGAATGTTCTCTAGGTATCCTTCTCCTTTTCTCCTATACTGAAAAAAAATATTTGAATTCTTTTCTCATAGCTTATTCAGTGTTTTGAATCCTGATATAAAAGGAGAGCAGCATTATGCATCATTGTTATGGTGATAATGGGAGTAGTTCCAGCAGTGGGCAGCTTCCTTGTGATGGTTTGATATTAATGCACTGGTCAACAAAGGGAGTAATTCCTTATTGTGAAATATTCCATTCAATAACTATGAAATTTCACACTCCTGATGAAAACCTGGCCAAATAATTTTTATACTAAAAAAACCCCAACCAATTACTACTAATTTACAAAGATATTTATTCTCCATTCCCAAAAATATTTGTTAACCTTCTCCACCTCCTGACAGTGTTAACTGTCATTGCATTTCCAGAAGTGAGAGGTCTCCTTTGTCATATCCCAGCACCCTAGGAAATTAAAATTTATGCCAGGGAAAGGTTCACATTTGTCTGTAATATTGCACTCCATTGAGAATCTAAGTAGTTTGTATTTTAAAAATAGGATGCTTTACAATCCAGTTCCTCCCAAAGTTGCTAGTAACACTCCTTCACACTCCCTAGCTTACCCCTCACTTTACTGAACAGCTCTGCACACTTTGCAAACTTTTCAGCTGCCTCTTCAGCTATTGGCAGGGTAAAGCACTGTGCACAGCATCCAGTATTATACTTCCACAGTTTTTTGGGCAATGTATCCCTGACAGGGTATTCTCCAGAACTTCCCTGTCTCTGCTAGCAGGGTGAATTTTTAACAGAAAACAGAGCACAGAAGGGTTGCAGCAGCATATGATTAGCAATTCCCCCCTCCAAATCACACACCCAAATTCTTTTTCCTATACATTCGTGTAAAAATCACTGACTGGCTTTTTGGTCAACACTTTGCTTTTCTTTCCCCCCCCCCCATGGCTTGGAGACATGTGTCCAAAATGGAGTTACTCCATGCACGTGTCCAGGGCCTTTCACAATCAGGAATTCAAAAGGAAAATGTGAGCAGAAACAGGGAAAAACACTCTTGGTAACAACAATTCCAATGTTACAGACCAGCTGATGCCAACGGAGTGACAGCAGTTTCACATTATCACATTTGCAGCACTTTTCAGAATTTTCCTGTTATGTCAGTATTTGCTGCACCAGAAACAACCAACAGTTTCTGATACCAACAGAAGAGGGTGTCTATCCTCTGTGCTTCACAAAAATCAGCAAAACAGAGAGCGATCATCTGAGTTGCCTTATTTCTCTATCAGGCAGTTTTGGTGAAGAAGAAAAGTTTAGAGGCAGAAGGCAATAAGCACACCATACAGACAGACACATCTTGCCTATTTTTGCATTGTATGGCCTTTTTAATGCATGACTTAAATAGGTCAAATTAGAATTAAAATATCGTATTTGTAACAATGATTTTGCTAATAACTTACAAGATTATTTTAAT